GCTCCTATGATGCTGCTTGGCCTGCTGTGTTCATCCAGCCCTGCACCTTGTTGTCTCGGATTCTCCAGCATCTGCAGTTCCTACTATCTCAGACATAATGCAGTCAGTTTCCTTGACATCACTGTTTCTATTTGACTGTCCAACAATATCCATTACAAGGCCACCGACTCCCGCATTTACCTTGAATACATCTCCTTAGACCGTCCTTCTTGCAAGGATTCCATTTTACTAGCTTCTCCACCTCTGTCACATCTGGGACAACAGGCAGAAAGGAACTCTTTTTCCTACCCTCACTCCCCAACCCCAGTTGTCATATGCACTAATGCAATATTAAATTTGTTTGTGAAGAAGGTGGATCAGACAAGATCAATTTTGCCACAAGAAATTCAATGATCTCACACAGGTAGGCCAGGTCTGTGAATGTATCTTTACATGTTTAATCCTATGTTTCATTCGCAACCCCTCCACTCACTTTCCAGCAGTCTACAATCAACTGTCAAACTTCACATTGATGAGCTTCACTCACTTTCTCACCATCATGGCTATTCTCAAAGGGAGAGCGTATAGGATACTCAAAGGTCTGGCACTCTGATGTTGACATGTGGTCAAATCAGTAATCATACATGGTTGTCTGAAGTCTTGGCAGTTACAGCTTGTTCAGAAATGCAATGTTGGGAAGTTCTTGCAATCACTGCCCCAAAAGAACAAATAAACTTTATCCCAAACTCTCAAAAAAGGCTATTTTCAAAAATAGGAGTTCAGCTTGGCAGCACTTCCTCACAGACTAATTATTTCCCATCTATTTCCAGATACCAAAGCATTGTCAATCTAGTCACTGTTCAATTAGTTCCAGAGCTACGGTAAAGCAAGCAATTATCACCATCATGCAATTTTTAGAAAGGGTCATTAAAAAAAAACTCCAATGTTAACAGTGATCTTTTAAAAACATATTTTAAAGAAACCACTCAAGGTATTTCCACAAAACTTAAAATATTTTTCTACAACCATAAAAAAATTTAAGTCTTCAAAGAAATGTTGGCCCAGGTTTTCGAATGGTCACACAATTAGTGGGAGTTGCACTTCTGGAATCCCAATGTAGTAGATGGCAAAGGAATTGCCTGGGAAATGTAACCCCATTAATAGATACTATTCATAATGAATTTGTTTTTTTTGCTGCCCAATTAAAATCATTCCAAAATTCCACTATTTGTATTAAAATTCTAGATAAAGGATATTACAAGTAAAATGCTTAAATTCAAAGATAACGTGACACAAGATATTTCCAGGTAAGATCTATAGATACAATCCAATTGAGCAGAAATGTACGTCACTTGCACTAAACATGCAAAGTACCCAAATGGTTAGAGTATGATGGGGTTTTTCTTATTGAAATGAGTTTGCTAGTTGACTTGACATTGAAAATGTCAGCATGTTATATAGTTACACTCTCCAAAATGAATATATGTTATGCTGTGCATCTGAAGAAATACACTTTCTTTACACACACCAAAAAGCATCAATTAAATCATAACTGGTCTACTGTAACTAATTTACTTACAAAGGATTGCAGGAAAACACAGGAAAGTTTCACAATAGAATGGTGGTCATGGCATTAAGGTCAGTAGCACAAAGTGTTAAATGTGGTTAAATGTGAGGGACAAAAACAAACTAAAACAAAAAGGGAAGAAGACATTTTTAAAGTCATGAAAGGAATCAGCAGTAGGATCACGTCAAAATTCTCCAAACCAGAAAGATTTACTACTGTCAAGTATTATATTGTTAGCTAATGGAATAGACTGCCACCTAGTGCAAATATGATGCACTCAATTGTAAATATTTTTGATCAACCTATTTAGACATGTTACAACACAAATCTGGAATACGTGGAACTTAAACTTGGGTCTGGTGGCCCAGAGGTAGGGACACTTCAAATGCACACAAAGAAGCCATGCACTCAATTGTATTATAAACAAATTGATTTCTGCTTCTACAGGTAGGTACACAGCAATAAACAAGACAAAATCAGTCTATGCACACTACAAGTACAGGACTAAATAAATTAAGTTGAATTGGTCAAATTGAACCATCTTTATGCAGTATGCATATTGCAGATTGTCACTTATAGGAGAAATCAACAACTATCAATACCTAAAATACTATGTACAGTTGTTTCTCCTGTTGCTAATGTTGTAGTACCTTCAAACTATAGTTATGTAGATTCAAAAACTTACATGAGTTTTGTATGACTGGATCACCATTTACAGTGGGCTTATACAAGTCTCAAAATTAGGTCCCATGCTATTAATAGTATAGATCAATGTATTGAAGGCAATGCATTACCGTGGTGGCTACATTTGCCGATATTACAAGGATAGGTAAGAAAATATGTTGTGAAGATGCGTAACAAGGATATGGAGCAGTACAGATGGATTAAGCAGATGAAATATGTGGGAAAATATGAAGTTGTTCATTTTGACAGGAAGAATAAAAAAAGCATAGCACTATTTAAAATGGAGAAATGCAGAATTCTGAGGTGCAAAGGGTCTTGGGTGTTCTAGTACAAGTCACAAAAAAGTTGGCATGCATATGATCAGAAAAGCGAGTGGGATGCTAGCTTTTGCGATGCGAACGGAGCATAAAAGTAAGGATGTTATGGCTCAGTTAGATAGGGGCATCACTGAGACCACACCTTGAATACCATGACAGTTTTGAACTTAAGGACGTATGTAAACGCATTGGAGATAGTTCAGAGGTGGTTTGCAAGATTGATTTTGGGAATTAATGGGTTGATTTAAGAGAAAAGATTGAACAGGCTGGGCTTATTTTTGCTAGAGTTCAGAAGAATAAGGAGTGATTTGTTTGAAGTTTAAAAGATCCTGAGTGGTCTTGACAAGGTGGATGTGGAAAGGATATTTCCCTCGTGGGTGAATGCCAAAATTAGGAATTGCCCATTTAATACAGAGATGAAGGATTTTTTCTTCCCCCGCCCCCCCGGCCCCCCGAGGGTTGTGCAACTTTGGCTACCACAAAAGGCATTGGAGGTGGGAATCACTGAGTGAATTTAAAGTGAAGGTAGATAATCTGGTTTGATTCTCTTGCTGAAAGAATATCAGCAATAGCTCAGAATATGGAATTTGGAACACAAACAGATCAGCTATAATCTTATGAAAGGCCTACTTATGCTA